GTGTGTGTGTGTGTGTGTCTGTGTATGTATGTGTGTGTGTGTGTGTGTGTGTGTGTGTGTGTGTGTGTGTGTGTGTGTGTGTGTGTGTGTGTGTGTGTGTGTGTGTGTGTGTGTGTGTCTGTGTGTGTGCGTTTGCGTGTAGGTGTGCGTGTTCGTGTGCATCCGTGCTTGCGTGCATGTGAGTGCGTGCGTGCGTCTGTAAGTGTATGTGTGTGTCTCTGTGTGCATATATATTTCCAAACTTAAACATCAAAACCAATAGCAATAGTAAATAGAAGTAAATAAATAAAAAACAGACTTACACCTAGGGAAGGACGTATCATAGACGGTGTCGTTGGAGAGCAGGTTATCGAAGGTTATGGTGAGGACGGGATGGGCCGACGACATCTCCAGGTGCGTCAGGAGTGGCACCTTCTGGTTTGGCACTCCGGTCGCGACCACTGTCCACCGCCCGTTCGGGTCCTCTTCCACCTCCACGTGGATGTCAACAAGTTTCTTCCACGTCTCCAGCTGATGTGGAATATGGGTTTTTAAGCTCAGAGTTGAAAAATGTGATAAATTATACATTTTACTATTAAATATAAATCGGCAGTTAATCAACTGTAAATCTGTCTTTCTGTGTGTTTGTGATTGATTATCTTAAGAATTAGATACTATATGAAAGGGGAAGCCTACAGGTATATTGCTCAGGACCCAACAAAGTACAGCGATGTGAAATTCGCTGGATGAGCAATTCTCAACAAAATGTATAAATAATTAAAAAAAATAAAATAAAGATAAAAAGCACATATCAACCTTCATGTTTTTTTTTCCGTGAGTGCTGTTTGTTTTTGTTCGTCAATTACCTTAACACTAAGGCTAAGTATAAGGTGTACCCAAGCAGCTTGCCCATCTTAAACAGACACTTTTCGAATAAATACTGCCCTTGTTTTAATAACTAACGATTATTGCTTCCAGCCTAAAAAAAATACCCTGTATTCTACAATACTCCGATTCTTTTTACTCTAATCATCAGGCACTTAACAAACATATCTACATACATTCAGTATTCTTAAAACTCATATACACAACATAACTTATCGCTTTCCACCTCTCCACTCTCTCTCTCTTAAAGGAAACCCAAAGAACCGGAATGCGCCATCGTATACAGTGAGTTGCCAGCTGTTCATTTTCCCCCCAAGACAACACCAGCTAAAACAGTCACTCACCGAAGCATGCACGGTCTTCTGCATGCGATCGAGGGCGGCCAGGAGCTTGGCTGTCTGGTCGTGGCCGGTGATGTTGGTGTAGAGGAAATTCTGCAGGAGGGCGTACTTGCCTCCGCCCAGGGTCAGTGAGCCGTTGGTTCGAAGCTCTAACCTGTTGGGAAGGATGGCGGGGGGGGGGGGGGGGGGGGTTTGATGTTCTTTTACTTTCTCTGTGTTATGTTGTGATGTTAATGGTAATAATAACAGCAACAATAATAATGATATTGATAATAATAATAATAATAATGATAATAATAATAATAATAATAATAATAATAATAATAATAATGAAAATAATAATAATAATAATAATAATGATAATAATAATAATAATAATAAACAGATGATAATAACAACAATAATAACAACAACAATATCAATGATAATGATAATAATAAAAAGAGTAATGACAATTACAAAAATAGTAAGCCACAGATATGACAACTAACACATTTAGGCCTATATAACGATGCTGTATATATGTAAACATTTAGAATATTTTCATGTGTACATATATATGTAACTTCAGACACATACACACACAATGCGAAAAATGTAAAAAAAAAAAAAACGAATAAAGATGAATACAAGATCTCATACTCTTGCATTGTAAAATTAATCCCTTTCATTCATACTACTTCTAAATCTCATAACAAAGTAATTGTAGGATAAATCCTTTTCACCCATACTATCTCTACACTTCAGTACAACTTATTTGTAGAATTAGTGATTTTCATTTACATTATTCCTACACTTCGGCGCAACGTAATCGTAGAATAAATAATTTTCACTCATACTAGTTCTACATTTCAGTACAACGCAGCTGTAGACTCAATTACTCTTATTCATGTAATTCCTACACTATAGCAGTGTGTAATTACAGAATGAATGAATCTCTGCACATCAGCACTACATAATTATGCATAACATTTCAACACTTCAGCATTACATCATTAATAATCCTTATTCACATTTCAACCTTTCAACATTACGTCATTAATGATTTTCATTCATAACATTTCAGCATTTCAGCATTAAGTCATTAATAATCTCCAATCATAACATTTCAGCCTTTCGGGATTACGTAAGGATTAATCTTCATTCATAACATTTCAACACAGCGTAAACAACTGCGACACGCACTGCGAGGCCTGGTGCTCGAGAGACGCCTTGGTACCGAAGAGCGCTGCGCCTTCGTGTGTTGTGTCCCTGGTGATGAGCAGTTCGCCGACGACGTCATGATGCTCTTCGGGAGAGTATTCGAGCTTCATGATGAAGGCCAAGAGTTCCCGGATGTTCTGTCGTAGCTCGGCGCTCAGTTTGATGTCCTGGAAGAGCGGGTTTTTGTTGAGATACGTTTATTGAGATATTTTCTGCTGACTTTGATTCGTGCTAACTTTCTGTAACAAGATTTTGACGGTGTAATTAAGCGTAAGTGCAGTAAGTGAGTGATCCAAATAGTGTTGCCGTGCTGGGGACACCTACCTCCTCCAGGAGAGGATGAGCGAAGCTAACGGAAGCCTTGTGGAGACGGTTGGGGCTGAGGCTCTCGTCCGCCCACTGCAGCCGACCCGAGATCTCTTCCTCGCCGCTGTCAGGAAAGTTTCACAACGTTAGTAACAACGTCATCGAGGTAAACATACATCAAAACGAACATACACACGCCCTCTCCCTCTCTCTCTCTCTCTATCTCTCTATCTATCTATCTATCTTTATCTCTATCTCTATCTCTATCTCTATCTCTATCTCTATCTCCATCTCTATCTCTATCTCTATCTCTATCTCTATCTCTATCTCCATCTCTATCTCTATCTCTATCACACACACACACACACACACACACACACACACACACACACACACACACACACACACACAACACACACACACACACACACACAACACACACACACAAACAAACACACACACACACACACACACACACACACACACACACACACACACACACAACACACACACACACACACACACACACACACACACACACACACACACACACACAACACACACACACACACACACACGGAACGACTCCTTACCTCGGGCTGTCTCCGTCCCAGTTGAATTTCACGAAAGCGTCAATGTTCTTCCTCGACCTCTTGTAAGACCCGTCGAGGAGGACAGTGCGGTAGGGCTGCGAGAACTTGCCCTTGAGTTTGTGCTCTTTGGTGAATCCCTGGGAAGACGAAATGAAGAGATGTCAAGGATGAGATGAAAGGATGTTGCAGAGGTTATGAGATGTTGAAGATATATGGAAGGGATGTTGAAGAGGATGTTGCAGAGGTTATGAGATGTTGAAGATATATGGAAGGGATGTTGAAGAAGATGTTGCAGAGATTATGAGATGTTGAAGATATATGGAAGGGATGTTGAAGAGGATGTTGCAGAGGTTATGAGATGTTGAAGAGGATGTTGCAGAGGTTATGAGATGTTGAAGAGGATGTTGCAGAGGTTATGAGATGTTGAAGATATATGGAAGGGATGTTGAAGAGGATGTTGCAGAGGTTATGAGATGTTGAAGATATATGGAAGGGATGCTGTAGAATCGCTGATGTCAATGATGATATGCAGGGATGTCAAGGAGGATATGAATGGATGTTGAAGAGGTTAAGATGAGATGTCAACAATGATAAGAGGATATGCCAAAAATGAAAAGAGATGTCAAATACGACATAAAGAGATGCCAGAGATAAGGGATGTCTATGAGGTAAAGGGATGTCAGAGATGCCAAGAAGAGATGTCAAAGATAATAGGAAGAGTGGTAAGAGATGTCAAATAGGGCAAGGCGATATTTAAAGACGTTAAGAGATGTCAAAAACGATAAAAAAAAATGTAAAAGACGGTAAGGTGATGGAATGATATTGTATTTTTATTTACCATAAGAATGAATTTGTCTCCTTTTTATTCAATCTTATTTACATCTAAGAATAGTTTAATTTACTTCATTTCCTATGACAGTCACTAAACTATCACAACTTTTTAAAAAATCGCAAACTAGAATGACAATAACAACAAATGAGAAAAATACTACAATCCACTCATAGTCTTCCATCATAAAAAAAACTAACCCAGTCATAAAAAAAACAACAACGAAGACAACACTGAAAGACAAAACACAATTTTTAGAAATACCACAGCCATCGCCACCCACCCTCGACATATCCTCCCAGACGATGTTGAATTCGATCCTCTCCTGCTCAGACCACGAGAGGAGGAAGTCCATGCTGAAGTTCCTCGACGTCAGCACGTAACCCGCGGCCAAGACGATCTCCCGGCCCAGGGCATTACCTGCAACACACACGAGAGGGAATGGTGGGTTTTAAAGTGTGTTGCGGGGTTTGGTGGGGAGGAGGAGGTGATATATATATATATAATGAGGGAGATGGTGGTAGAGGAGGGTGGGATGGGAAGGTGAGAGGGAGGGGAGGCGGAAGGGAAAGGTGGGAGAGAGGGAAGGAGGAAAGTAAAGAATGAGAGGGAGGGGAGGTAGGAAGGGAGGTAAGGAATAGAAGGATTGTGAGAGGAGAGAGAGGGTGGGATGGAAGGAAGAAGGATTGGAAAGAAAGAGGGAGGAAATGATTAGGGGAGGAATTGAGGGTGAAAGCGATGATGGAAGGGACAGAGGGAGAGAAGGGTGGAAGGCGGAAGATTGCAGAGAGTGAAAACAAATTACCGAAGTAAATATAAACTATATTGCCACAACATTCGCGCGTCTGCCATACCTTTGACAGA